ATAATATTATGTCAACTTTTTTTAGTCGTTATCTACCCATAATAAGCTGTAGTATTTTTCATTTATTACAATCTATAACTGACTGATTTAAATTAGTTTATTTATTATTCTACTAAATTAGGAATCTTTAGTTTTACCTCCTCAAAATGTTTCATAAAGTTTCTACTTAAGAAAAAAATTGTGAAATATTATCCTCAAAATATCAAATAAGATTTTAAAACTGTAAAATGTTAAAATATGGTCTAAAAGAATTGGTATTTTTAATCACACTTTCATAGTTACATGAAATATATTTTGTGCTTACTTAGCATACAGTATGTTCTGAAAATTCAACTAAGTAAGTCCTAATAATAACACATAGGTTTCAAAAAAAAAAAATCTTTGATATAACACCATACTATAAGACTCAATAGTTGTCCACAGAATAAAAAACATAATTATCAAATTTAATATAATATTAAACATTTATATATTATATAAAGTTTGTTTTGTTTTCCAGATTTTTTTTCATTAGTTTGTTATTTTTACAGATAACTATATACCTTATACCTACTTGGCTACTTATTTAAATGATTTAGTTTTAAGAATATTTTGATATTAATTTATTATAAGTACCTAGGTTCCTACACTGTGACAGTACCTAGTGCAAATCGGTTTATTTTATATGCCTATAAAGTAAAAATTCTACTTTCATCAGTAATGGTTGGTTGCGTGACAATTTGCTTAAGATAAATTATTTTAGATAGTTGTCTACAAATTCTAGTATATTTTATAACTTTATAAGTCTCTTAGTTATAGGCAATAGTATATTTTTAAATCAGTAGCGCAGATCATTTTCTTTTTACAGGTGGGGCAAATCTAGAAATTTACCTTGCGACACCYACCAATCTATATTATTCATTAAGAGTTGTATCTTGTATGAGTTAATCAGTAAAACAATAAATTTACAATATAATATTATAATTATTAATTATATGACCTTTACCAGTTACTAGAATTCACCATATAGATACACACAAAC